CTTAGGCTGTCAGGCTAAAGAGGCTGGTAAATCGACCCAAGTTTGATTAAATTCACGCTGAGCCTCGTAGCTCATTTGGTAGAGCGTTGGCTGCGCAAAAGCCTTCCCTCCTGTGTGGGTTCGACTCCTACCGAGGCCGCCAGTTTTTTTCACAATTAGGTCAAATAAATTAAGCAAATCTGCCAAACCTTCTGAATAATTAAGTCAGTTTAGCAGTCATTCTGTTGGATTCTAGTTGATTGCTTAGGAAATCCTGCTTGGGCAGTCGGCTTGCTGTTCCGTATTGGTGGATTCTATACGCACGGTAAGTTGGACGGGTAAAATTGATTCAAGTGTGATCAAATTCACGGTGCGCGGTGACCCTCGTAGCTCAATTGGTAGAGCTTTGGCTGCGCGAAAGTCTTTCCTGCTGTGTGGGTTCGACTCCCACCGATGTCGCCAGTTTTTTCACTGAATTGGGTCAACTGAATTAAGCAGATCAGGCAAACCTCCCTAACAGTCAGCAATGAAATCGAAAGCAGACGTAGGCGGCTCAGAGACTAAAACCTGTATCACAGACACGCCACGAGTGCTATTTACTAAAATATTTTTTTATTATTATACACGTGACGAGCGGTTGCTGCCGCCTGTACTATTCCACAAGAATCTATATTAATCCGCGCTGGTCTGCGCGATGGCACGCTGTGACACGCCCATGCAAGAGCATAACAAATAACAACTAAGTTTTTCCCACTTTGCCACCATCCCCAGTCTGTCTGGACAAGCACGTGCTTCCCCGGTGTCAAGATCAAAGTCCAAGAACGCTATGAGCATAGTCAAAGATGGCTGCGTCATCCTAACTGTCACCAACAACCCTGCGTAGATGCTGCCGCAGATCACCAGATAATGCATCTCCCTGAGACTGAACACAAATCAGGGTGACCGTTAACGGATACAGATTGAGCATGATGTCTGCCATGTCAGCATGGGGACAGTTAGCTATGCGTGAAGTAGACTTTTGTTGAATCTACCGCACACCCTCTCCTCTCTCACCCATCTAAGCTCGGTCTCAAGACAGAGGCCGGAAGCGAAACCCGATGTAGTGCTCACTGTGTCCAGTCATGCCCGAGAGGCAAGCAATAGGCTTTTTGAGCGAGTTAAAGTGTTGTGCAGTCAGTGCGCTGTCGTGTATAGTGGTCCACACTGCCTCAGTCTGGGTGGGGGCCTGTTCAAGTGGCCCTCAGGCAGCCAACCCCCCAGAAGGGAGAAAAAGAAAGGCAAATTTAGTTTAAGTAGTAGACCTCGTATTCCCCTAATCCCAGCATTTTGTCCTACGGAAACGGTGGTTATGGGGGGGGTTTCGCGGGTGGGGAAATAGAATAGGCAGTGAAGAAAATTTGTAGATGTAAGTGTAGTTGAATTTTTTCCTGTGGCCGCTGGGGATAAGTTTTCCGCATGTAAATTAAAGGTATGCGAGGCGGATTATACTAATCTAACTCCAAAACGGGAAGTTGAGGTAGACGACCTCCTAACCACTATTTCTTTTTTTTTCAGGAATTTCGGGAAGCCTGCATTTTGCTATTCGGGTTTTTCCGCAATACGTTAACCGATAATACAAATTAGGGAAATCCGCAGATATAAATCAGCAGCATTTTAAATACACTAAAATAAAAATCCGTATAGCAAATATTAAAGTTTATTCCACTGCCTATCGTAATTCCCCACCCATAAAACCCCTATAACCATCGTTTCCATAGAACGAAATGTTGGG